GTTTTCCCGAAGGCACGTGCGCTCAAGCAACACGTCATATGCATGGTATCACACATGGAGTATGTAATGGCGGCCACAACAATGCGCAGGGCTTGTGCTACGGAACTTGCATCCAGGCGGCAACTTCGGGACAATATTGCCTCTGACTCCTCACGGTGCTGACTCTCACATTTTATGCACAGCATACAGCTGTCAGCCTCAGCCGCTGAGGAAGCAGCAAAGAAGGACCGCCAACACGGCCAGGACCAGCGAAATGCAGGTCTAGGGCGGTGGAGGGCAGCTCACCCAGCTATCCCAGCACAATGTCGACGGTATGCTATGGGAATCAGCCTGGGTTTTCTCACATTTTGGAAGAGAGTGAAGCCAGAGAAAAACTGCAAGAATCCAGCTACGAACTTGCACCGGAGGCGCTTCTGACCATGACCAACGTCTGGACTCCGGACCGACCGACCTGCCCCACGGCCTTCAGAGGCCACTAACCCAGCAGATGAAAGACGTTATCTCTTCCAGCCGCAAGACTTTCAAGAGACAGTTACGAAGCACATACCGTGGAGAGTATAACGATTGGAAGTATACGTCCTAAAAATGTACTGTGGAAGACGACGCACGGGCGACATACAGCATCATATCGAGAACATGAGTGTGAGAGCAAGTTATATGCATGGTCCTGCCCATCGACATCGCCGTTGACACGATACGATGTGACATCACGCGTAACGACATATTCGAGATGTGGGCTGCACGTATCAGAGCAGAAGGGTCTGGGTCAGTGGCCCCCCCCGTGTGAGACTTGGAGCGCAGCACGCTGGGAGAAAGGGGGCGCCCCTCCCACTCAGGACCCGTGCCTACTACTGGGGGGTACCGTAAAGCACGGACGAACAAGTGCTCCAGCTGGAGATCGGAAATAAGTTGCTCCACTGAGTGGAGCAACTTATTTCCGATCTTGGCAGGGCACGCAAGAGCAGGCACGCAAGGAGTGACTCCTTAATCCTTCTCTTGGCAGGGCACGCAAGAGCAACCACGTGTGCATGGCTTGAGCATCCGCAGCCGGCAGTTTCGAAAGCATAGGCATCATCAATTTGTTCATGGCTCCCACGCAGGTCGCTGGAGTGCTGCCCACTGGTCATCACCATCGACTTTGATCAGTGCAATTTGCAGGACTTCCCACCAGAGACCATAGGTAGAGCTCCCACTAGGATCCTTGCCCTGAGGCCCTCGAAGATGCACCAGTACCTCACAGCTATGAACAGGGGGAGATGCTGTCATAACAGGGAGGTACACTGCACTCTGCTGGGTAAAGGATAGGATAGCGCCACTTTCAGGACCAGCGCCAAAAAGACGCACCAAGAGAGAATGTGTGCTGCAAAAGCTCAGGCAATTCACGACGCAGTTCAGAGCGCATGGCCCTCCGATCCAAAAGAAGACGACCCGCCTCCTCCCCCAACCTCAAATATGGTTGCTGAGGAGGGGGAAGAGAAAACATGCACGGAGTTCACGGAATTCAGAACTGACATGGCGGAAGATTTCTGGGAGGCTTCCGACTTTGCGCATACCGGGTCTCCCAGGAAACGCGGTGACCCGGAAGTTGGCCGTTGGGTTCCTCCCTCGCCCTCGCCTCCTGTTGGCTCCTCCCCCTCCCCCGCCGAGGAACCTGACCTCCCAACGCCGCAGGACGCGGCGCCAGTGCCCGACGCCGCTGCAGGCGCCAGGCCCGTCCCCCTGCCCGACGAGGCCGGAGACCTGTCTTTTGCCCCCGAGGACGGGGCCCCCCCTTCTTTCTTCCTTGCCTCGCCTCCTCCGTCCCCTCCCCCTCCCCCGCCCCCCCCGCCTGTTCTCACAGCTGACCAGTTGGCCAGAATTGCAGCCAATCGTGCCGCATCTCGAGAACGGCGCCACAGGCGCGTCGCCCCATGGTCTGGTCAGCTCGCCTTCCATTTCTGAACTCTCAGTGAAATGGCCCAGGATACCTCTCACTTGGTGCAGGCCCCCGGCTTTTTCTCACCAGAGTTTCCTAGAGTTGAGCACGTCTTCGCGACACTGCCATCTTCCGCCGCCGCCGCCTCGCTCCGCCTCCGTCCGTCCTCCTTCCATGTCCGACTTCCTGCCCCCGCCTTATCCTCTTCCTTCTCTCCCTCGTGGATGAAAGTGCGGACGGAGGCGAACGACGACAAAGATGCAGAGGCCTGGATGGGGAAGATGTCGTACACGGTGTCTGCATCGGGGTTGGTGAAGGCGTAGCCGCACGCGCCCCCTGTCCGACGGCAGAGGCCAAGAAACCCACAGAAGACATACGCGCCCCACCACGTGCATGAATACGGCCCCCCAGTCCGCGAGACCAGCCTGGTGATGCGAACGTTCGCGCAATGCGTACGTTCAAAACCAACGTGGATTCAGGAACGCATGAAATTGTTATGTATTGCCGCCCCCCCTCCAGACCGTCCGTGACGGGGGGGGGTCTGGCCTCCGTCGGGGTCGTTGAGGGAGGTTTCAAAGTGAGCTAGAACAAGCTGACGAGCTGCCGGGACGAGCTCGTGACACCTTCAGTTGCTCTGCACTTCTAAATTTCCGGGTGCAGGGAACGAAACCAAAACCTTCGGCGCCGTCTGCTTCGATACCACCATACACGGAGGTCCTCTCCAGGAGGCTCCAGGGGCCCTGTGGCACTGGAAGCGTCCAGAAACCTCGAACCTCGATCCTGCTGCTGCTGCTGAGCTCGATCCACCTCCTCCAAATCCTGGCTCGATCCTCCTCCTCCTCCTCCTCCTTCTCCTCCTCCTCCTCCTCCTCCTCCCTCCTCCTTCTCCTCCCTCCTCCTCCTCCCTCCTCTGCCCCCTCCTCCTCCTCTCCTCCTCCTCCTCCTCCTCCCTCCTCCTCCTCCTCCTCCTCCTCCTCCTCCTCCTCCTCCTCCTCCTCCTCCTCCTCCTCCTCCTCCTCCCGCTCTCTCCCCTTTCCTTTTCCTGTTCCTCCTCATACTTCTCATATTTCTTCTCCTCCTCCTCCTCCTCCTGCTACTCTTCCTCCTCATCGTCCGCTCCTGCCCCTCCTCACCCGTTCTCCTCCTCACGACGCCGACAGATAAGGGCCCTAGCCCTGCGGGCTTCTCGCCCCTGCCGCGGAGGCGCACGGGCCTGTTGCCAGGCAGATGGCGCGGTTGAAGCCGCTCAGGCTGAACACCGCGCGCAGCGCTTCCGCCATGACATGTCAGCCCCCGCCGCCGCGGACCACTACGCGCGGCTCAGATCGCGCGGGAGGAGGTGGAGGAAGTAGGAGGAGGGCAAGGAAGAGGGCGAAGAGGAGGAGGAGAAGGGAGGAGGGAGGAAGGGGGAGACAGGCGGGAGGACGAGGGGGCGGAGGGACCGAGGAGGGAGGAAGAGAAGGGCTAGCACAAAGACGAGGACGAGGACGAGGACAAAGGAGGGGAGGAGGCGAAGGAACAGGAAGAGAGACGAGGGGGAGGGAAAAAGGAGAGGAAAAGGAGGACGACGAGGGGGGGGACGAGGAGAAGGTGGTGGAGAACGAGGAGGTGGAGCTAGCCCTGGGTGGCAACAACGCTGGTTACTAACACAAGCCAGCCGCCAGCTAGCCCCCGACGGTCCAAAATCCCAGCTAGCCCTGGGCAGACCGCCGCAAGGAACACCTAAGCAACCCCAATGACCCCAACGGCCTCGAGTGGCGAAGACGCCGAGAGCCGCAACGAGCCCATGCTGGTCCCTGGCTGAGTGACCACACTCACCACGCCCTGCCATCAACGCCTGCCAGACCCTCCCGGACGCACCACCCCCTTCCGAATCGACCACCACGGGTGGTGCGAACGCTGCTCACCACCACTGGCCCCTGGCCGGCTAAACTATGGTTAGCACCTAGTAGCAGCCCCTTGCTGGCCCACTAGCCCTGGGCGACGGACCTGGTTGACGCCACCAGCCTGCACCAGACTGTGACCCCTCTGGCCCCGTGTGGCGCAAATGCCACTTGTCGCTACAAGGCCCGGTTGCCGCCACACGCTCCTAACTAGCCTCTAGCAGCCCTGGGGAGCGGAGACGTCGATTACCTCCAGGAGCTGCTGATAATTGCTTCACTAGCTCGCCACACTGGGCTTGGGTGGCCCCGAACGCCCGTTGCGGTAACCAGCCTGTACGAGACCCTACGTGGCCGCATCAGCCTCAATGACCCAAGGCGACGCGCAAACTCCAGTCGCCTCAACTAGCCCCCACTACGAAGCCCTCAAACACTCCCTGAATTGAACAACTAACTGAACTGGCCCCGAGCGTCGCCACTGACCCACAATTCCCCTGCTGGCCCATGGCGAGCCCCACTGGCCCTGGCTGGCGCAGGCGACAGTTGCCGTCACGATTCCGACTTGCCCCCGGCTGGCCTCACAACTAGCCATGGGTAGTGCAGATGCAAGTTGCTGCCACCGGGCCCTACTGCCACCGCCGGCTCCTGCTCAGCCCCTGCTCAGCCCTACTTGCCCTGGGCGGTGCCATCGCCAGGGAGCCGCCGCTCGCTGGCCTTTCCCTGGCCCGACTCGCTCCACGAGCTCTGGCTGGGGGGCACTGAGCCTGTCCAGCCCCGCTGGGCTCACCAGCCCTGTGTGTTGCAAGCGCCTCACTGGCCGCCAATATCCACCCTCTGAGAACACTGCTCGGGGACCAACGGGCCGGGATAAGTGAGCTACGAAACAAGAAGAGATGAGCCAGGCAGGAACGGGAGGACCAGGACAGAGAAGAGACGCGGTAACGGTAGGGAAGGTTGAAACCACATGGGCTGATGGACACACGAAGGGGGTACTGGGGCAGAGGAAGCGAAGAAAGAGGGGTTCGGGAGGGAAGCAGGAAGAAACTAAGCGCAAGCGGCGATGATACATTACCACCCGCAGAATAACCCTCTTCTGGCGCTCTGCTCCCACTTCCCCTCATCCTGCTCTCCTCCTCTTCCGTCTCCCCCTCCCCTCCTCCTTCTCCTCCTCCTCCGCCCGAGAAGAGGGCCGCAACAGAAAGCATTTCGAGCCGATTTCGCCGATGGGTGGTGCTCATCAGCCAGTCTCATTCAGCAAGCTTGTTTCAGACTTAGCACGGGTGGGAAGACCAAGTCCGCTGCCGCGAGCGAATATGACATCTGGAATACTGTCGTCCTCCTTCCCCACCTCCTCCTCTTTCCTCATCGCCAACGGCAGCAACATTGTTATCCTCCTGCTCCTCCTCCTCCTCCTCCTCCTCATCACCACCACCACCACCACCACGACCCCCACCACCACCACCACCACCACCACCACCACATCATCATCATCATCATCATCATCATCATCATCATCATCATCATCATCATCATCATCATCATCATCATCATCATCATCATCATCATCATCATCATCATCAGCATCATCATCACCACCACCACCACCACCATCATCATCATCATCATCATCATCATCATCATCATCATCATCATCATCATCATCACCATCACCACCACCATCATCATCATCATCATCATCATCATAAGCATCATCATCATCATCATCATCACCATCACCACCATCATCATCATCATCATCATCATCATCATCATCATGAGCATCATCATCATCATAATCATGACCATGATCATGACCATGATCATGATCATGATCATCAGTATCAGCATCAGTACCATCATCAGTACCATCATCATCATCATCAGCATCATCAGCATCAGCATCCTCATAATCATCATCATCAACGTCGACACCATCATCATCATCATCAGCATCGTCATCAGTATCATCATCAGCAGCACCACTATAACCACCATCCCTATCACCATCACCATCACGATCATCATCATCATCATCATCATCATCATCATCATCATCATAAGCATCATCAGCATCATCATAATCAGCATCGTCATCATCACCATCATCATCATCAGCATCATCGTCATCATCAGAAGCAGCATCATCAGCATAATCATCAGAAGCATCATCAGCATCAGCATCATCATCACGATCATCATCATCATCATCATCATAATCGTTATTAGTAGTATTATCATCATCATCAGCAGTATCAGCATCACGATCATGGTCATCATGGTCATCATCATCATCATCATCATCGTCATCATCAGTATCGTCAATCATCATCACCATCATTATCGTCATCATCATCATCAGCATCATGATCATCATCGTCGGCACCAGCATCATCATCATCAGCATCAGCACCACCGCCACTGCCACCACCATTACCATCATAAGCATCATCAGCATCATCGTCATGATGATGATCATCATCAGAAGCATCATCATCATCAGAAGCATCATCATTATCATAATCAGCATCGTCATCATCACCATCATCAGCGTCACCACCATCATCATCATCATCATCATCATCATCATCATCATCGTCGTCATCGCCATCATCAGCATCATCAGCAGCATCACCGTCAGCATCATCATCACGATCATCATCATCATCATCATCATCATCATCATCATCATCAGCACCATCTTCATCATCAGCATGATCATCATCAACATGATCATCATCAGCATGATCATTATCCTCGCCATCATTCATCCTGATCCCCATCCTCGTCCTCTTCCTCATCCTCATTCTCACCACCATCATCAACAACAGCCTCCTCCTCGTCCTCGTCGTCATCATCATCATCACCAATCCCCCCTCCTCGTTATTACCCCGTTCCCTCTCTTCAAAGAACCTCGAAATGACGCAAGCAGAGAGACCGCTTCACTCTGCCACCATGAACACAACTGCGGGGTCGGCCGCTTCACCAGCGGCTTCTCCGGCCAGGTCGCCTGACCCCCCCTCTCTTGTGTGCGATCGTCCCGTGCACACCTGCCCTGAGACATCCACGCCACCTTCCCCTTCCCCTTCTCCTCCCCATTCCCGAAAGTCGAAGACGCGAGGGGGAGGCGAGGTCGCGCCCCGAGGTGCGCGCCGCGCGGCTCTCTTCGCGCCCTCGCGAGGCCACCTTGGAGAGGGGCAGCTCTCCAGGCCCAGGCTTCGGCGCGCGAAGAACGATCATCTTTGCGCCCCCGAGGGTGACCTGGCCGCCACACTCTGCTCCTCAGCCTCATGCCCATCACCTCCCCACCTCCCAGTCATCACCTCCTCGTGCCCATCACCATCATCCTAGCAACCTTGTCATCCAGAGGAGCAGGCGGAGGAGGGGAACGGGAGCAGGATGACCACGAACTACTACGCTAAGGGGGAGGCGGGGGAGGAGGGGGTAGGACGAGGAGAAAGACGGGCAGGGTGGGGGGGAAAGAGGAGGCAAACTCGACATCGCCACGTGCTGGCTCAACGTGCCGCGCTGTGCCAACTTGCAAAGTAGCGGCTGTCGGACAGAAGCGCGCGGAGAACTCGAGTGGGATGGTGCGCGCGACGGCGGGCCATCATGCACCGCGAGCTGCTCCTTCAAAAACTGCCTGGAGGTCGGCCGCTGGGCGCGTTGCCTCATCGCCGTCCGAGGGATGTGCCGTGCTCAGCGCGCTGGCCTCGACGATCCCGACGCCGCGGACGAAAGCGCGCGAAGGCGCTGGCACGGCCGCCGGGAGGACAGCGGGTCCTGGACGGGGGCGGCGCGCCGCTGGCGACGAGGCCTTCGCACGGCGACGCCGAAGGGTCCGCCGCGCATCGGGGCGGGGGGGGGCGCCCTGCGCACGGCGGCGAGCCAGTCAGAAGATCTCGGCGGGCGCAGGCGCAGGTGGCGACATCCGCACCCTACCCCCGCCAACCATCGATTCTCCAGGATCGATGGGAGGCAACAGGTTTCAAACATGGCCACGTGGCGAATTCCAAACCCTACTCCCGCCGCCCAACGACCCGCCTGCATCGTTGATCAACGAGGGCAGGGCTCGGGCCTGAAAGGGGACCCTGACAAGGCGGAAGCTGGGGTGGCCACGACGAGCACCGCCCATGCTGGCCTTCGGAGAGCGGGCGCGCCCGCGCGCGTGCTCGCGCGGCGCTCCGCCCTCACCCGCGGGGGTTTCGGATTTCGCTCCCGAAACCTGCCCAGCCGGAGCTGCCTGGCACGAGTGTAGCGGCAGGGGCAGACACCGGACGGCGTGGCGCTCAGCGCCCACCGCGGGGCCGAGGGCCGACGGACGGGAGCGCCGAGCTCACCTCCCCAGGTCGCTCCAGCGGGCCAGCGGGCCTGACCGCCGAGCGCGGTACGGCTGTTAGCTCCCGCTCCGGTCCCTCCTCTGTTCCAGCGGCAAGCCACGAACTGCGAGACGGCCCCCTCGCGAACCGCCAATGCCAAGGTGATGTGGGAATGGACCCGCCAAGCTTCGTCCAAAATGATACGCAGTAGCAAGAACGATAAACATCAGACGGAGCAGGCGCGAACCTGCAGGACAAAACCAGAACGCGCAGTTCTGGTACCAAATCGAAGCGCAAGACGGGAGCATCTCGCACTGCTCCACAGCTCTCACTAAAATCTTCCATACAAGCCCATACGTTTGCTGGCTGCCCGCAGCGTTGGAGCCGTCCCGAGTCGGGCCAGGCATCTCCGGCGGCGGGGCGGCAGTGCCAAGGTCAGGCATAGGCAAGCCCCAGAACGCCGCCATCTGGTGGAGCTCGCGGAGAAAGCGGCCACGCGCGATAGGCGTCAGGGCGGTCCCCCCGACATCCGAGCCCATGACGGTGCCAGTAAGCTCCTTGAGCGTGGTCCCGAAGACGTCGTCCACCGTCGCCGAGACCGAATCGCCACCCAAAGCCGTCATTCGGGCATCACATTGCTCGGGTGCGAAGGTCAGCGCTGCCGCAGCAGCAGCTGCGCGTAACGCCCCGGTACCGCTGTGCTGCTGCCATGGGCCTGCGAGGGCCCCGACCGCCGCAACGCCTGTGGCCGCAGCTGCAGGTAACATCGAGGAGCCTGGAGCTGCGGGCGCAGCAGCAGTCGCTGGGCCGAGCGGCCGCAGCCCAGCGGCACTGGGCAAGGGTGGCCTGCCGACGACAACCGCTCCGTGCACTGCGGCGGGCTCGAGGCCGACGCCTGGCACCGAAATTGCTGGCGGGATCATCCCCGCCTCGGGCTCCGTGGCGCGAGCGAATTCCTCGCTGGAAGGGCGAAGCCCGCGAAATCCAGCGTGGCAGACCGAGGGATAAGCTGAGCCCGAAACACTGCAAGCTCGGAAAGCTCACGCTGGGGCTCAAAGATCACTCTTACACTGCACTTTGTGTAATTTCATACACACCTGCTGGAGCATAGTCCACCATCATGTTCCATTAGATTGGGAACGACAGCTGCAGATTTCAGCGTAAAGCCTACAGCAAGAATAAGGATGCGGGGGCTCGCAAGGGTGCAATGCCCTGGAGGCGAGCAGGCAAGGCTTCCAAGGGAGCCGTGGTGAAATACTGGATCCATCCTGCCAGGGTTGACTCTACAGAAGATGCTGGTGCCACGGGAAGAGCGGAAGGGCAACAGACCTCGTCCCCCACCACTCTGCGCCTCTTCTGCGCGAGGCCGCTGAGCGTCGGCCACGAACGCGGGGGACCACAAGAGTAGTTTAGACGAAAATGGAAAAGGGGGAGAGGGGAATGAGAACGCAGAGGGAAGAGAACGCGGAGGGAGGCTCAGAGGAGCGGGCCAGATGTGCGGACGGGGCGGGAAATGAAGACGATGGAGGAGGACGGGGCACCACACCGACCACCCCTCTCCTGCCTCTCCTGTTCTTTCCTTGCCGCCCTCGTTCCCTCGTTCCCTCCCCCATGTGCCCTGTGCATCCCCCGTTCCTCCCCCTACCACGCCCACCCCCTCGAGGAGGCCGCCCCAGGCCGACGACTACGACGGCCACGACCACGACCACGACCACGCAGACGATAACCACGAAGACGGCAACAACCACGACCACGGCGGCGGCGACAGCGGCGGCGGCGGCGGCGGCGACCGCGGCGGGCCACGACGACCACGGCCTGTCGCCCTTCCTCGGCCACGGCCTCCGCCTCCGCCCGCGGACGGGGGGCCGAGCGCCCGCAGCCGCCGCCGCGCCGCGGCGGCCAACGCCGCCGATGCGCCGCGGCAGAGCCTCGGTTGCGACGCCGGCAGCGACGCACGACGACGACGCTTCCGCGGCGGCGCTCGGCGGCGGCGGCGGCGCACGGCGGCGGCGTGCAACAGCGCACGACGGCGCACGGCACAAGGCGCGCGGCGCAGGGCGGTGCACGGCAGGCGCGAGGCATGGCGGAATGGGCGGGGGGCGGGGGGCGGAGGAGGTCGACGGGGAAGGCGGCATTGGGGGGGTGGGTGGGGTGTGGGTCGGGGTGGACAGGGAAAAGGGGTTGGGGAAGGTGTCAAGCTAGCCAGCTCGAACGAGGCAGAGGGTTCCGTCCACTCCCGCCAGCCCTCCTACAACATTAGAAGCAACTGCGTTGCGTCCGACGCCTGTCGTTCATCTTATATCGTGGGCGGCCAGACGTTCAGCGCGCGACACGAATTGCGTCCTACTCCTGCCGCGCATTGAACAACGTCGACGAGAAACAAAACCGCGCGCGATGTACGCCGCGCGCCGCTCCGGCCTCTCATGTTGCATCGTCGGCGACAACATGTCCAGCGCGCGAAGTGCGCCGCGTCTCATTCCAGCCACGCAAGTTGCACCACCCATCCTTCCGCTCCTGCCGCGCATGGGGGAGAGGGGGGAAGAGGAGGAGGAGGAGGAGGAGGAGGAAGAGGGGGAGGGGAGGGCGAGATGGAGGGAGGGAGAAACCGAGGATGAATATGATAATGCCTCTTGGGGCTTCGCGGGGCGTCGTGGGGGTTTCCTGGTATTCGCCTCAGGGCCTCTTGGATAAGTTTCCCGGGCTGGAACATTGTCCTTCGCGGGGCGTCCCGGAAACTTTCTGGTACACGCCTGAAGGCCTCTTGGATAGATCCTCCGGGTTGGAACATTGTCAACGCAAGTAAGTGCAAACCTCACAATCCTTCAAACACCAAATGAAAGTCAATATTTGTGTTGCCCTCCCTGGACCTCCTGGGCGCCTTTTTTTCGACGTCTTGGGGGTATCCTGAAGCATTTGCTTGAACCGCACTTGTTTGGAGCATTCTGACTTGCCGCCCGCCCAGCTAGCTCCTCAACCCGACAGGCCGCAGCGTCGGCGACAAGAAAGTCCATGTTGACGAGCAGGCGCCCCCGCGCGACGCGCGCCGCGTCCCATTCCCGCTGCGCGATTCGCAGCGGCGACGAGGAGAAAGTACATCTTGGCAAGAGAAACGTCGACATTGCGGTGTTTTCTTGGCAGGTAGGAAGGGGGGTCCCGCATAGGGTTGGCCAGGCGTCCCCGCGCGATGCGCGCCGCGTCCCATTCCTGCGACATGTTGCGCAGCGTCGACGAAAGGAAAGTCCATGCTGATGAGAAAAACGTTGACTTTGCATTGTTTGGGTTGGATAGGACGCGACCGCCCGCTCAGGGCTACCCAAACGATGTTCATGTCGCCCCAATCCTGCTACGCGTGTCGCAGCTCGACATGTTGGCAAACAACAAATTGAGTTTGTGTTGTTGTTTGACAGTTAGGACGGCGGGGCTGCCATCGGCCAGCTAGGTGGGAATGAGGTGCTTAATCATAGGAAGTAAGGATGGGGGGGGGGGGGCAAGTGGAAGAGGGGAGGAGGAGAGGGGGGCCTCCTTCTGCCACCCCGCCCCCATTCCCATGCCCCCCCACCAGCGGCCTCGCCGCGCTGCCTCGCGCCCGCGTGGTTTAGCATCGCTCTGCTTCGTGCAGTTTGGTAATTTGCTGTGACTTCGCGCCATATTCATACGCGGCTGGATTATCGCGCGGGACATGCGAAACCCCTGGGCGGATCCGCGTGAGCAAACTGCCGGCGAATCCGACCGCGGGATGGCCGAGCGCCAAGCGCTGCACTGGAACTCCACGCGGCCACGCGTGCGCGCATTCATCGCCAAAGTCGGCCGCGCCATATGTCCAACCAACTCTCTAGCAAAAGTCGCGGCAAATTCAGCGCTGGATTGGTCCGCGTGAAAGACGCGGGCCATTGGCCATCGCCCGGAATCGCATATCTTTTTCCGCCGCAAAGCAAGACGAAAGGGAAAGCCCGCTGCCCCTCAAAGGGGCAATCCCGCACCACGGACAATGAAGACCACGCGCCAGGCGGACGCAGAAATATCGCCGAGACCGCGCAGCAGCCCTGCTCGGCAGGCTGCCCTGCGAGCTTGGCCGAAGCAGCGCCGACCGATGTCGGCCCTGGGGCAAAGAGACCAAACGCCTGCAATCGCCCTGGACTCGGGAAGAGAGAGAAAGGAGGACGAGGAGGAGGGAAGAGACGACAAGAGCAACAGGCGAACGAGACCAGGAAGCGCAGCAACTCGGGAACCGAAGGCGTGCAAATGTAAGCTGGAGCAGCAGCAAACGCACCACTTCGGAACGGTACTGCCCGCGTCCGCTGGCAAATCGCACGGCCTACATACATCGCAGAGCAGCGCGCGATAGAAGCATAATCCTGGTTGATATCAAGCCGAAAGAGTGGGGGGGAAGGACGGAGGGGGCCAAGGAGACGAGGAGGAGGACCTGGCGTCAAACAGCGAGCGCCATCCCAAACAGGCAACCCGCACGCGGTGCCCGCGCTCGCGAGACGAGGCAGCGGACTGGGCAGCGGGCGCTCTCCGCTGGTTTCGACAATCGTCGCCGAGCGGGCGAGGCTGCCAAACTCAGGAGCGCGGGGCAGATGCTGCCCTCGAGAAGGGGGCGGCCCCATGCCCCGGGCAGCTGGTAGCCTGCCAGCGCGCCCTGGTCGTGCATGCGGCACGCACGCGACAATTACACGCCAGGGTGGCCAAGCACCCATGGCTCCCCCAGGAAACTCATGCGGATAGGGGGGGGGGGGGGGGGGGGGCAAGGGCGCCAGAAAGAGGGGCAAAAGATGGGCAATCAAAATGCCGATCAATATGGGCTGGCAAACCCAATTCCAGAGCCCCGGGCGATGATTCGCGTTACATGTAAGTTCGCGGAGGTCCGCAAGCGGAAACGATTGCGCGGCAAAGGAAGACGAACGGCAAAAGAGGGAAGCACACATAAGTACTTGATCCGACGGAAAGCGCAACTATGGGCTGCGCCCCAATGCACGCCAGAATCTCCAGAGCGCCCCCCCCACGGTGGGCCGCGAATCCAAAGGGGGGCAGGGGCCCGCCCCCCGCCGACGCCGACGGCGACGAAGCGGCCACGACGACGCCGCCGGCGACTGCGACCAGGCCGACGGCGACGAGGCGAGCGCGACGACGACACCGAGCGCACCGACGCTGACCACGACGGCGACAAGGCCAACAGACGACGACGAGGACGAGGACGACGGCGGCGACAACGACGGGAGAGGAGAGGAAAACTGCGACGGCACGAGGAGGGACAGGAGAGGCGGGGGGAGGCGAGCGGAGGGAAGGAGGGGAGAAAACAGGAGAGGCGGGAGAAGGGGAAAGGGGAGGGGCGGCCCCCTGCATCCCAGGGGCGCGGAGCCCCCAGGGGGGAGGCGCGCGGCTGGCGCCGCGCAGCTGCCAGCCGCGCTGGACTTCGATGCCGGCCGCGGCGGCCAGTGCATCCACGCGCAAGCGGACAAATCCTGCCACCCCTACGCGCTACGGCACCGTCTGCTGTCCCGACCGCGTGGCCGATGATCGGGGCACAAACGCCTGCGCCTGGGCAGGAGGGGGGCGAGCGGCAGGAGGAAGGGGGGAGAGAGCAGAGCGCAAAACAAGAAATGTGTCCAAGCCAGAAGGAAAACTGCAGCGAACAGCCTCTGCTCGGATGTTCACGCCCACCTTGAATCGGACGCGGTTATGGCGCCTCGATGTCTCTGGACTGTTTCGCGGACTGCCTGCTCTGATGCGCGGCGAACCGTGTGATTCACTACGCAGCGCCGCTCCGCTGATTGCGAAAGCGGCAACGCAGGCGGCGCGCTGCGGCCACTCGCAGAGCCCCCAGAGCCAGGCGCACGTCTGTGAGCCGACGGCGGGCCCACCAACAAGACAGAAAGCCGCCGTGGCCCAACCTCCGAAATGCACGGGGGGCGCAAATATCTGGCACCAAATTTACCAATGCGCGCGGACGACCGCCGCTGTCGCGCGGGGAGGCACCAGCACTGTTAGCCGCTGCAGCATCACAACGGCTCTTTGCTGACTAGTCGGGGAGATAATGGAACCACCCAGCGCTCGAGCTTAGACCGCATCCCGCGTTCAGGGTCACGCTGGTCTCGCTCCTGCAACGTATCGCAAATGCCACGTTGAAGCCCCCTGACTGAAAGACGTTCCTGCGCCTGCGTCCACGGGCGCACGGCGCCCGCCGCCCGCTCCTGCGCTGTCGCCAATGAGATGCCGACCTGCTGGGCGCTCTCCGCCGCGGAGATCATCAGATGGCAAGAAGAAGCGACGAACCATATCGACCATCTCCCGCGCCGCGCGACGCGCGGCGACGCTATGTCTGAAGCCGCCAGCCTCCGGAAGCAGGTGCGACGCCGCAAACCGCCCGCGGCGTGAGCCCCCCGATGCAGCACTCGGAGCTTCGCCGCCAATGAGACGCGCTGTAAGTCGACAAACTCCTGCGGGAAGCCATAATCCATGCTGCGGCCGCGCAGATCGGATGCGTCGCGCCACTTGCAGGGGCCAGGCGCCAACGCGCGGATCAGGCGCAATTCAGTGGCGTGCCACCGGGCCAGCAACTCGCCCAACCGCAGCAGGAAGCCCAAAGTGGAAGCCACGTAGACGCGGTAGAAAACCGCGGCTAATAGCAGCCCGAGTGTGATATGCTTCCATCGATCGACGAGCGCGCTCCACTACTCGCAGAGTAACAACCCGCAAACGGCCTGGATCCCCCGCGGTGGATCTACGATACATTACATCAAACCAGACATGTGCTTTCTGGGACGTTTGCGAATGGCGGAACGCGCTCGGCGACCAGACGGGCGCGCACAAGCGATCTCGGAGGCCGCCCCCCAGCCCCGCCCACTGCGGCCGCGGCCCAGAAAGAAGCCGAAATATTTGGCCCAGAGCCGGCGCTGCACGGGCCCCCATGTGGCTAAGCGGGCCG